GGCGGTCTGAAGCCATCCACACGGCTGGCTTGACAGGTCCACCTTCGCTGCTGGCAAATGGGCTTGCCGTGTGATTTACTTTCAAGCTGTCCCACATATAGCTGCTTCTACCTAGTGAGGCTCTAGCCATCTGTAACCGGATTCATCTATTGATAACCTAAAATACATCAAAAGCAGTCTGGACTTTTCAAATGTGGTCAAAGGGGAACTTTCTCATCAGGAAGCTTCATTACGGGCGATTTATCAATTTGGCTGATTTTGGTATACTGCAGGGTCTATAAATAACCATGAGTGCCAAGCAGGATGTTAATTATTTGATGCAGTGATTTAGAAATAATCCATTATTAAGCATTTTCTTAAATTGTTTCTGGTACCCTGTTAGTACCCTAAATGGCATGAAGCTGCTAGTGGCACTGAGAGTCAGTGTGGTGTGGTACAGCCATCACTGTGGACTCCAGTTTAGCTTAACACAAGTCGGCTGTCTGCAAGCACCGTGAGGAAGGTAAACCCTTGCTGTGCAGCCCTACTCCATGGCTGAGGTCTGTCACTGAAGGAAATACCTTTAAGACTGGAGAAAGAGCTATCCATGACCCTTTTATACTACAAATTTAGTTATCAGAGGATGTCTGAAGTTTTAAGACAGTTCAGAGGCTCGAAAGACAATGATCACTATAGCAAGCATTGTTTTCTCCAATAGCTATATGAATAACTCCAGGATTCACAGGGATATTTGAGATTAAAAGTCAAAATAAATTTATAAAAAGATTTGCTTTGCTGATTGCCCTTTGGAACCCACTAGATAGTCTGTCCTTTATTCAAAAAATACCCCAAAGCAAGTAAGTTAGTTCAACTTATGCATCTGGCCTGTTATGTTCCTTTCACCTGGCCAACATCCAAGTGTCAGAACTGTATGGTAACCTTGGCCAGAGGCTCCTGATAAGCAGTGTAGGCTGCCCACACATCTGGCCAATAGAATTTTTTCGCAGCATCGAGAGGATTCTGGGAAAGAGTAATATCTAATGGAGAAAGCACTTTGGAGTAAAGTTTGGAGTTTTTACAATTATATGCACCCCCTCCATTTTCATTTGCAAGGGAAATGCATCACTATTTTCCCCAAAGGGCATCAAACATTTCAGAACTAAGAATTTGACTTCTATATACACCTCGGGTAAGCACTCCCAAGAGGAATTATAATAATGCAAATTCAATGGGGGGAAAAGTGTGGCTTTTGTTTTGTTTTTATGAAAACTCCAAACTCCCAATCCATAAGGGATTAGACCCCTATCCTCCACACTAACTATACTGAAATCTACATGAGAAAATTTCAAAATAAATGGACTTTTCCAGAAGTTAGGCCACTACAAATCAAGGACTTGCATTAGCATTTCTTAGCACTGAATCTTGTAAGCAATTATGCATCAGTGTCACTAAGTAGCTTGAATTTCTGTGCTAACCCGGTGCGTTTATTATCTTGACTTTTATTAATTCTAATTTTTGCAGTACATAATTCCTTTCCCCCTGGAGGCTGAGCTTATTTACAGAATAAACCATGCATAGAATTACCCGTAACTGTCATCGTTATACCCTAGGTTGTCAAGATGGACACAAATGATTCCCGGGGTTTGATTTTAAAACAGTTTTGTTTAGTTGATTTTTGGAGATGGGTTCGAACACAGCTCAGGCTGCCTCAACTCACTACATAGCTCGGAATGACCTTGAACTTCTGATCCTCCTGCCTGGGGGTATACACATATACCACCATGGTTAGGTTTGGTTTTATGTAATACTAGAGACCAGAACATGAACAGGAAACATTTTACCAATTGAATGGCATCCCCAGCCCTCGATTTTAGCTTTTGATTTTAACTCCACCACAAAAAAACAAAACAAAGAAACCTAACCCATAATACTGTCAACTATAACAGTATAGAGCAATTGTGACATGCCTCACAAAAGGTATCCACAGTTTGAACAGATATGGTCACTGTCAAAGGCATTTGTAAATCAATGTGCCTTGTGAGTAAAATGAATGGCTTTTGTCAACTTAGCATTTGCAAGTAACCAACACGAATGAAAGGCTTCCTGAAGAGTTTAACCTCAGAGGGCAGAGCCCATTGCATCGTCCTCCACACACCCAGTGTGAAGAGGCAGGCATTCCATCAAATGGCCAGGTGCTTGTTGGAGAGCCCAGACCTAAACAAGACCTCTCCCAACAGGGGAAGTTAGTGCTGCTCCCTAGTAGATGTGATTGTAACTGACCCTGACTAGTGGGGCAAGGCAGCCTCATAAGTCAAACGGCAGCAAGTCTGCCACCAGAGAGAAAAGTCAGAAATGTACCGGGTCAGTGTCTCATGCCCAAGTGGCAGATGACACGCTGGGAAAGAGACATCCCCTCTGGCTGAGAGGCTCAGGCAAAGAATAATACGATGAGTTTCTCAATGGGTTCCACAGAGCATGCTCCCCTATGACCCACTGTCACAGGGCCATTGGGGAAAGGCGCAGGTACACATAAGCAGTACTTGGAAGGAGCAATCTGACAGAATGGTTCTTATACCTGAGAAATCTGATGAAGCCTTATGTACTGTCCACCTGCTTCTTTAGTTTGCTTTTCTATTAACTGACTTGTACTGTATTTTCTGGGAGCATTGATCTACAATGGATTGGATGTCTTGCAGCAGGTAGGTGGAAGAGGCCTACTACACTTGGAATCAAGTTTTGCATGGACAATTTGCACATTATGCTGGCAAAGACACTGATTCGCCTACTGCCATCTCTTAAATTAGTTGAATATTAAGGTTTTCAGAAGTAGATAATTTTGCCCGTGTGTAATATATTAAGTTCCCTTGATTAACATCTGAATTAATCTAGAAATATTTGAATTGAGGGCCAATGAGATACCAAATAATCAAAACTGTTCTGAGGAACAGAAATATTAATTAACATTTCGTTTGGAAAGGAGGAGCTCTGCGGTTCAGAATTTGGGATCATTGCTCCATCCCACAAACCACCCCCACCTCTCCTGGCAAAGGGGTATATAGCATACATCAACAGATTAGGATTCTGGGAAGATCAGCAACATAAAAGCACTTAATCATAGGCATGTGACACTTTCCCCCCTAGAGACAGGGTCTCAGTGTATAAACCAGGCCAGTCCTCAATTCACAGAGTTCTACCAGCCTCCACCTACCAGGATGCTGAAAACAAAGGCAGGCACCGTGACACCCAGCTCAGAAATGGCACACTGATACCTGTGGTGCCTAATCTTGGTTATCAATCAACTGCTTCTGGAATCAACTAAAACCCAAGCTGCTGGGCAATCCTGAGAGGGATTTTTCTTGAACAGATTATTTGAAGCAGGAAGATTCACCCCAAATCTGGGTCTTCTTCAAGATTCTAATGTAGACCAAAGATTGGGACTCTCCAGGAATCCTCCTGGCCCTCATTGCCAGACTAGGACTGCTAAGACTTTGAGCCTGGTGGACTGAATGAGACAGCCATTGCTGGACTACACTGATGACATTCTGTGTGTGTGTGTGTGGGGGGGGTCTGTGTGTTCTAGTAGGTCTGTTCCTTTAGAGTATCCTGACTGATACAACATCTTAATCAGGAAGCACAATTCTAGGAATGCTGATACAGTCATGCAACTCTAGATTGCAATTTTTAAAAAAGCAGTCCAGAGTAAAGCTTTACTAGTTATTTCTCTTCTTCAATAACAAATGCATCTGACCCCACCCAACCTGCTATCATAGCAAGGCAGGGACAAATGGGATAAATATATGTGGAACCATAACAGGTAAGCTGCTCCAGGGAAGAGAAGAAGCTCCCCTCATCCCGCCCCACCCCACCCCCTGCCACCATCTACAATCCCCTTACGCTGCATGCTGCCCAGTTCCTAAGTTATTTGAATAGTTGATTCCCCCCTAGTGATGCTGTTTTGCTCCTTCAGGGCAGGAGGCATGGCTGGCAGAGGAGGCCACTGAGGGTTGTAGACTGGCTTCAGTTTTCAGTTCTCTACTTCCTGATTAGTCATAAGGTGAACAAGTTAAGCTGCAAGCTCCTACTGCCACAGACCTAACCCCAGAGCCATGCCCAACCCTGCCAAGATGGACTACATTCCCTGCAAACATATACGTACAACCACCTTCCCTCAAGCTGCTTGTTCTCCATTCTCTTGCAACAAGTAACTAACAGAGGAATGTCCCTGTTGTTTCTCCAGGCCCTACACACCCAGGATGGATAATTCTAACAGTCCTTTGTTCACTGGGCCATCTTCTGGAACACTCTGGTAGGTATCATGTTATTCTTCCTCGTCAATGCAGGCTGGACCCAGAAACAAGCCAAGGAGAAGCCCTTCACTTGGCAGAAGTTGCAGCAAGGATAAGACTCCTGTCTGCTTGGCCTCCACCTCTGCTCAGAAGTTTCTCTAAGAACCACAGTAGTGTAGGACTTTGGTGTTGAGGTTCCCATGACTACAGACAACTGCCCCCCACCACCAAACCACTTGCTGTCTGTTCCCTCAGTACTCCTAACGTACTCAGCAATAACCCATTGAGCTGGGTCAATTGCACATTGATTTCAGTGGGAGAACAATCTAGACATAAATGGTATATCACAGCCTAAAGAGAGCGAGCTCTGGGAAGAAAAAATCCATGTCAGGGCTTGACAGTATCTCTCCCACACCCAATGGCAAACTCCTGCTCCCATTCAACATCTGGCTTTCCAGTTCAACAATCAATAACAATACACTTTCTCTTAGCTCCTAATGTCAGCCTCCCTGGGCTCCTCTGTTTACTTCAGAGGCAGCCCTCAGAAATTCACACCACTTCTACAAGGTCATGTGGCCAGTGAAATGTAGGACAGGGAATCGGTTTCTCTTCCAACCACCAAACCACGAGGTCTTTGTTAAGGTCAAAATTATCATGAAACATTATTTACATAGTACACAAGAAACGTAGCTCTGCAGCTGTTCTACACACGAGCTGCAGCGTGCAATCACACAAAATAAAAAGATAAGGAGTCCTGCAATTTACTTACTGTTCACATAAACGTTAAATGTCACGGAAGCGCTGACATCAGAGTTGGACACCAGAAAGGTGTAAGTGCCTCCTTCTGTGCCTTTTAATCTGGTCAGATGGAGTTCGTTCACATATCTACAAGAGAAGGACAATAAATCAACCCCCTGTAGACAGTCTATCCTAAAGTGAAAGTCTCTATCACTGTTTCTACTTGGAAAGAAATGCCTCATGGGGGAAAATACCATTTAATTCAGTATTAACACAATATACACAGTCACACACGTCACTCTATTTGGAACAAAAACCTGCATGTGAAGACACAGAAATAGGCCGGCCAAGCCTTTGGGGCCACAGTCCCAGACTACCTTTGTGACCACTTCCTATTTTGCCCACACTGTAGCAGTACCTTGAACTCTGTCCTGGGAAACCCTGGCTCAATAGTCTGCACACACCCTCCATTTTCATGTCAATTCCTTAGGCCCTTGGGATCCACCATGAGCTCCTTCACCCTCTTGTCACCCTATCTTGCTTCTGTCAATGCTATCTCTTAGTGTTCTTTTACTCCCAAACTTCTTTTCCCAGTGTCCCCTGCAATATTTGTTATTCAAATATCTAATCTACACAGGGACCTACAGGATGGCTGTGAAGATGGAACACCATATAACTCTTGAGCTAGCATGAGCCCTAGATGGACAGATCAGCTGAGCAAGACCATGACCAACTTACCATGCTCAGTGGCCTTGCTCGTTCTCCTCTCACCACTCAGCAGACAAACTGCTGCTAGATCAAACTTTCTAATCTCAACCTTTTGTGCAGGTGCCTCTCTCTGTCCTGTGCCTTGTCTACAGGCCTATTTCTGTGTCCCCATGGACTGCTGTTGTGGGTGCAGCTCAGCACACCTCACCATCCAAGGGTCACCTTGAATGGCCAGGTACAGAAGCTCAGTGCAGAGTTCCCCAAGCAGCTTTCCTGCTCCCTCACAGTTCTCTCTCTGCATAAATCCCATGCCACTGACTCCTGTCTAGGGCTCAGCTTCTAGGGAACTGGTAATTCCTTTTTATAACAAAGGCATGCAAGATCCCAACCTCAGAACACTTCACCTTGATAACTCCTCTCCTAACTAGGTACTTCCCAACTCCACCCTCATCAGCCCAACTCTCAATAACCCAGGCTCGCCTTTGTTCATCCAACAGTCAACAGCTCCTGAGTGGAATAACATAAACGCTACCCAGTTACCAGCCCCTTATTAGTTATCTGATCTTGGTCACATCACTTTACCCTTCTGTGCCTTGGCTTCCTTGTGCACAAAAATGTTGGTAGTTAAGAGTGATGCAGACCCAGTGAGATGAGGGAGTGGGTGAAGACACTTTCACCACAAGTACCTGAGTTTGATCCCTGGAACGCATGTAAAAGGAGGAAGGAGAGAACAGACTCCTGAAGATGGTTCCTGACCTTTACACGTACTTTGGGATGCATTATGTCACTGTATCATGACATAACCACACAATAACAAATTTTAAAAGATTTTCAAGTGCCACATCTAAGGTTTATGCTGATATATGTCATATATACATGACAGAAATGAATGAAAGAACACAAGGTATTATTACTGCTACTACTGGAATTTATAATGTTTTGAAGCTCAAATAAGAGATCTAATAATAAAGAAAAAATAATTGATCACCTGGCCCAAAGTGTAACAATTCATAGTTACCCTCAAGAGTTTTAATAAAGTAGTAAAATACTAACTTCTCATTCTTCCTAAGGAAGATTATTGTGTCCTGAAGATATGCCAGTCATTGTTTTGGGTTACCCTTAAAATGAAGAGAAAAGTAACTCCCACTTTCTAAATGAGAAACTGAGTGGGCGTACTCCTGTGAAGTATGAACATTCTAAACCCACAATAAAATGAATTCTCAGCTGAGGGCAGAGGTAGCTCTAGGTATGCTTTGTCATCTGACATCTTTCCATGTGTTGCTGGGTCACCAAAACAGGACCTGGGAAGGTGGCGGGGATAGAAGGACACAAGTCCGTTTCTTACCTGATGTTACTTTTGTTATCGGATTTGAGATAATCTTCCCCCTTGTTAGTGGAGGTCCTGTTCATATATATCCACTGGTGGTGTTCAGGTTTGGGGTAAGCTTCATATTCAACAACCAAATCTATATTCTCTCCATCATTTACAAAAACTGTAGTGTTCTTCACTGGAAAGATGTTGATGAATCCTTTATCTAATTGTAACAGAATGAGAAAGCAATCAACATTCACAACTGACAAGAACATACGTCACCTTAAGATAACAAAAATGATTGAGTTCCAGCATTGACTACTAACAGTGAGAAGACATGAGCGAGCCATGCACCAACTTCCTTTTGCTCTTCACAACAACCTTGGGTGAGATGAGCCACACACCAAAGTCCCTGCCTTGTAGACTGCTCCATCACTAGCTATTTCCTAAAAGGTCCTCTCAAGTTCAAAGGTATTTTAGTAAAATAGCCCCCACCTAGACCCAGAAGAGTTATAAACGTAGTAAGAAAGTACCATTGGGACAAGGCTAGTACGAGTTCTGATATGTGATAAAAATGCTACAGAAAATATCATTGTGTAGCTGAAGAAAATAAGAGTGGGCCCTTTTCATACCACGTGTTATCACAACATGGGCCAATCAGGCAGCATTTTAACATAAAAATCGGACGTTTAACTCTTATGGGAGAGATAGGGGGTGGATGGTTTTTGGAAGCAACAAAAAGAAAATATCGTAAAGGGCAACTTTGGATTAAAGTAATGGGAAAGAGGACATAAAACTACAACTATGGGGGAAAGAATGTTTAGCTAAATCAGTAATTAAAATGTGGATAGCGCTTTCCATTTATTAAAAATAGCAAAACTAATTTAAAATAAACCCAAGAATCTCAAGTGTGTTCAAAGAAGCACGGAGAGCCACACACGGCAAACTGGCACACTTCTTCTCAGAACCAGTTAGCAATCGAGAGTTTCTTTTTTTAAATTATCTATTTTTAAGTCTAAATCCTATAATTTCCATTTGAGAACTCTTCTTAAAATGGGTTAGAGATGCACAAAGTACTATTTGTACAGGTTACAATAACTCTTGAAATGACAGAACATTGGTGAAGTAAATAGTGCAAGCCTTAGAAATGGTTATATAATAATCCAGGAGTGAGCCTGGAAAAAAAAAAAGCAATAAACTAATTGTCCGATGTTATTTTTATAGCCACCATTTAGGGAATGCTTACTATGTGCCAAGAACTGCCCCAGGCACTTTAGCACACATTTTATATAATAATTATGACATTTATGCTTACAATCATTCTGGAATATAGACTTGTAGCCTCTAATTTATAGATAAAAAGGTGGTTATGGATTTTCGGTGCATGCATGTGTGTTGTGTTTGGTGTCTATGGCAATGCTACATGCACATAAAGAATGTGGAAATGCCCAGCAGGCCAGGGCAGCACTCCCGGTGTCTCCTTCATCACCGGCTCACCCTGCTGCCTTGAGACAGGTTTTCCCACCGAGTCAGAGACCCACCATTTATTTCAGCAAGACTGGCTGGCTGGGGAGCTCTCAGGATCTGGTGGTCTCTGTCCCTCAGAATCCGGGTTACAGTCATGCACAGCCATGCTTGGTTTTTTGTTTTTTATGGAGGTGCTGAGGATTTGAACTCAGCTCCTGAGGTTTGCAGAAAAAGTGCTCTTATCCACTAAGTCATCTCCCTAGGTCCAGGTTAGAGATTTAGTGATAACTCTAATTTATAGGTAATAGTTGTAATCTCTAATTTATAGATGAAATTGATTATTTATATTTGGAGCCTAAGCCATATAGTGAAGTGTAGCTTTGAACATGGGTCTAAGAGAAGCCAAGAATGGCCGCTTTTTTTAGAATCTCTATACATTTTAAGTGAGAGAGAATAAGAACATGAATAAAATTGTATGTATAATGAAAACCCTTTTATAAAAAAATAAGCAAAATACTCAAATCTTTAAAAACAGCTACACCAAGTTAAAGTTTAAATTTTATTCTGTCTCATTTTCAAATGCTTAAAATTGTAAACTTTCACTAACTCTGCAATTATCTACAGATATACAAGAGCTTGTCACTGCAGTTTTTAATGCTCTCTGGTTGTCTAAAGGTTGAGTCAGAAACACAACCCAGGATCCTGTAGCTCCTGAACCAATTTGAAAGGGATTATTTTTCACGTGGAATGAAAAAAAAAATCATCTAAAGTAAAAAGACTGGAGTCGCAGCTGGTCCTGTCCTAACACCAGCATCAGGAACAACGTAACCCCTACCACTCTTCGTTGACAGGGAAGGGTTTTACTGTTTGTTAGATCTTGCTATATTAAAAGAATAAACATTGCATCACAAGGTCATATATCCTGATACTGCACAATGAAAAACAATGTCATGGTTACCATAGAGCAAATATGTAAGTGGTCCTGGGTTTTCTGCAGTCTACCTTGCTCAATATAATTGTTATGATTTGACTCTAAAGAATTCCCGCCTCCCCAAAGGCCCATGTTAAATGCCTGGTTGCTAACAAATGGGCTTATGGGAAGCCACTGGATCATGAGGTTCCAAGTTCACCAACAGGTATCCATCTCTACTGCTGAATGGAATGGTGAGAGGGAACTCTACTTCTTGGCTGCCATAGGATGAGCATCTCTCTTCTGTCCCCTGCTCCCACCATGATGTTCCAGATTTGCCTCAAGTCTCCAGACCTGGAATTATGAGCCAAAGGAAACTTTCTTCCTTTGAACTGTTTGTGTCGGGTGTTTTCTCATAGTAACAAAAGGCTGACCTAACACAATAGGATGTGTTTTTGTTGTGTGGTGGAATGAAGCTTTACATTTCTATAATATAAGAATTATTAAGACTCTGACTTAGATACTATAAAATGAAAAAGGAACTCTAAACAAATTGTTATGTTTAATTTTTTCAAGTGCTTCTGCATTAAGAAATTAGTAGTAACATTAACTTTTAATTAGGTTCAAACACTATGTCTGACACTCCCATAAAAATCTGCCTCTCCTCATCTCCAATGCTGTGGGAGCTAGAGGCTGTTTCTTCTGAGAGGAAATGCAGAGAAAAAATGGGGTGCATTAGAAAGCTAAGTAGCAGAGCCCCTAAACCAAAGCCAAGTCAGATTCCATCTGCTCTTGCCACAAAAAAAAAAAAAAAAAACAACCAAAGGTAACTGTGGAAGACGGTGGGTATGTTCATTTGCTTCAATGATTGTAAACTTTTTATGATATGTATGCAGACCTGCAGCATCACTCTGTGAGCCTTCACTGTACATAATTCTAAATACTAAAAAATAAAATAAGTCAACAGAACCCCTAAGTCTTCCTCTAAGGCCCATCCAATGCTGAATCCAAACCCCACACCTAGCACAGACAGAATTACTGTCTCATTGACTTTTCCTGTTCCTGTCCCACCACCACCCACTCCTAACCCACGACAAAACCAGATTCGGATTTCACAGCCATGGGGCTGGCTTTCCAGTCACACATTTCTAATTCTTGGAAACTGATGAATGGATTTTTAAAATCCGATTACATACAACAATACGCTCAAAACATCTTTACTAATTGCTTTCTGGAGCTGAAGAGGATATATCAACACGCTCCCTAATCAACTTAGCAAATTAGTGCTTATGGAGTTTAATATTTTAAAAGCATAGTCCTCTATTCAAATTAATAAATGGCTCACGATCACATTTGGGGACAGAGGAGCACACTTTCTGTGTGATGACTCTATAATTATAAGCGGAGTGTCTTCTCTGTGTTCGTCTGTTGAGAGACTTCCCATTAGAACTTGGGCAGAAACACCAAATTTTTATGACGTTACTATGGGTTGGGGGGAAAAAAAATCACAGAGCTCTTTTCCATAAATTACTGAAATCTAGGGTGGGGGAAGGGGAGAGACGAAAACAAACACTGCATTGCTTTATTACTGCTTACAAAGACTTGTTTCACTGCACTACATGTGTTATCGAAAGCAAGCAGCAAGAAAATGACTGCATTAAAAAGGCATGATTATATACATAATTTTATATATTAAAGATTGAAAGGTGTTTTGCTAAATAGCACACAGAATCAAAAAAAAAACCCTATGAATAAAGTAATTTTGAGATAATTATTATTGGTCTAGGTAAAACAAAAATAACAAGGAACCTACTATGTGCTGCCTCTCCTTAAGGAGCTTCCTGTGAAAATAAACACTTGTGGAATTTCTAGCATTGGGAAGACCAAAGCTAAAACTGCACAGAGCAGATGTAGAGAACCTGGGGCCAGAGAGGACCCTCAGGACTGGCTCTAACTGAGTCGCTCTAGGACCAACACCACCTTCATGACGGTGTGAGCGATGAACTTTAAGGCCTCAGAGCAGAGAGGGGGAAGTACAAAAAGGTTGGAGAAGCCCAATTCAGCACAGACCACAAAGGGACTAAAGCCAACAACTGACAAAAACAATGTACTGAAAGATAGAGAAATACTCCAGGCTCTATGCATCTTTGATGCCTGACAGAGGACATCTACGGTCATTACCAAGCTAAAATCACTCAGTGAGGGCCTAAACTGTGAGGGGGAAACTCAGTATATGCTTTGCTTGGGGGAGGGGAAGGTGGGAGCACAGAGTGACAGGTCTGAACTTCAGGGACTGTTCTCCAGTTTTTTGGAGTATACTGGTAGGATCTGGTTTGGTGTTTTTCTGGCAAGAAGCTCCAGGAATAATATTCATTCATTCATTCATTCGGTGATAATAAATTCTACGAATAGGTTCTTAGAGTCCCATTTGCATAAAAAGGAAACTATCTAGTAATTTCTCCTTTCACTATTGCCGGTAATTTATACATTCCCATAGAGATATTTACCTACTACTTTCAAGGTTGTTGTGACATTTGCTGATCCAAAAGTATTATTGGCATAACACATGAACACTCCAGAATCATTAACTCTTGCTGAGCCAATAGTCAGTGTCTCCTGGCGTTCATAGTCGAAGTCACCCTGATGCCAGCTACTGCGTTTTACCTGTGCTTTAGCCTGCAGTTTTCAGAAGGGGAGGAGAAAAAAAAAAAGAAAAAAAAATCAAGATTACCATATAATTTATATTCAGGATCTTTCCTAAATTAAAAATAGCAGCAATTAACTTCTCCATATTAGCATTCATTATACACTACTGAGGAGGAATAATAAGGCATCGTGACAAGCCTGTCACTAGAACCCTTCATATCACAGGATTATATTGAAAGATAGTCATTATGAATGATTGGGGGGAAAATGAGAAAATTCATTCCAAGTCCGCTGCAGTATTAAATTCGAGTAGTCACCATGGAAGAAGGATTACAGAATACTGATATTTCAAAATGAGTCAGCACACTTATGTCATGCTAACATTTCCTGCCCCACCCCCTTGGAGACAGGATCTCCTGTGTATCCCAGGATAGCTTCTAACTCCTTATGTAGCCAAGAATGACCTTGAATTTCTGAGCCACTTGCCTCCTCCACCTGTGTGCTGGGATCACAAGCAGAAGCCATCCTCAAGCCCAGTTTATGCTGTGCTGTACTTTGAACCCAGGGTTTCATGCATGCTGGGCAAACAGGCTCAGCTGACCTGCTCCATCTCCACTCCCTCTCCCCGTTACCTTTTCCATGTGTGCATCTAGTGACTGAAAGGAAAAATAATCTTTTTTTATCAACGTTTAGTTTCTTCAGAAACAAAATGAGAATCAGAGTATGTACAGCTGACTTGACGGGTCACCACCCCCGTCACATTTTCTGAACTACTTGAAGAGAAGAGGCACATGACACATAAGGGACCATACCATAAAGCATTTGAGCAGGCTGCCCTTGTGACATCGCTCTTGTGATCTGTCTGCAGACCACACATGAAGAGACCCTTGCAGAGGAAGTATCATGGGAAAACTTTAAGATAGGTGGCCTATGCTACTCCAAATTTGCTGCAATGTACACACATTCCCGTTACAATGGGGAAACAACATCAACTAATGAAACCAAGCAAGCAGGAGCTGATAGCTGACAATGACCAGGGACAAGGGAGATGGCCAGCTACATTGCCCCAGCAGTGCTAGCCCAGCAGCACTGGTAATGGAAACGATGCTAGAAAGGATTGTGGCAGGACAGTCAGGCCCTCAGATCAGCTGTGTCAAAGGGACATAACAGGACAAAAGTTCAACGATGTGACTTCAGTGACACTTGAAACAACATGAATATACATCGGGTAAATGTCACAATAAAGATTATGATGACTGTGTAGGAAATGACAGAAATGCTTTTATTACTTAGACAGCATAAGAGGGGACAAGGCAGCTCACATCTGTAGTGCCAACACTTGGGAGCTGAGTCAGACCGATGGTTACAGGTTCAAGGTCAACTTGGGCTACCATAGTAAGAAGCTATCACAAAGCATCAATCTTAAAACTGTAACCAAGTGAAAAGACACACACATGGGGAAAAGATAAAGAGAAACAAACATGGAGAACATGCAGGCTACCTGGCATTAATAAGGACTAGCCACTTGTGACCATGAAGTACTTCAAATATGGTAGTTGTGAGTCTACATAAAATATATGCTAGATTCTGGTTATTTAGAATTATCTAAGATGCAGAATACATTATTAATAACTTTCATGTTAATTTTAGTAAGAAATGATAGAATTTCATATTACTGGGTCAAATGTGACATTAATATCACTTATTTTTCGAATGTGCCTACTAGAAAATTTTAAATGTCATGTGAAGGTCACATTATATTTCTATATTATATACACAGCATTGCTAGCTACACAGACAATGCCTTTCTCTTTTTTTGCCCTCGTATAATTACAGTTTAAGAATTTTTCTTCAGGCTGGGAACTGAAGGCCTTACACAGGCAGTGACAGAGCTAATGCCCAGCCCACAATGGTTAGAATCCTATTACATTAAAATAACCATACATAAAAGTTGATGGCCCACGGCTTAATAAAAGTAAGAGAATCTATGTGGTAATTAGCTGGCTATAAGCTCTTGATTAAGTCAAAGATGCAGCTGGCCTTGGCCTGTTTCTAAAAGGTGTGTGAGCTAACAATAGGACTTTAAAGGGCTTTCCCATATGGATGCTGCAGATCCCAGGCTATCCCTTCTAGGTGTTTCTAAGTGGTAGAAATCTGTCATTTCCCTGTATAGGATCACTATCAAAACAAAATGAACCACCCTACGATGGCCTTTAGGCCACTCTTTCTGACTTCTCTCCAAAGCCACTGTGATAACAACACAAGGAATGTCACTTCCTACTAGGGCCAGAGAGTCCCCAAAAGGGTGCTCAGCACAAACTCTGAGATGGTCAGTACAGAACAAAATAGCTTGGTCAAAAATGATGTTCAAGCAACGCCCTAAAATCAAAGATCATAATTTAGCATACTACCACCAAACCCAGAAGTGAAAGCCAATAGAAACATCAGTGTTTGGAAGCCTGGGAAAGCTAGCTGAGATGAGCAACCATCATCGAAACCCCAAGACATATGCTTGAACAAATAATCACACAATCTTAAAGATCTCATTGTAGCCTCAATTTTTCATGAGTGATACTTCCTCTAAATGGTTAGGATCAAACATTATGGATTTTTTAAATAATCTGATAGTGCTAACAGCATTCCAAATTATGCCAAAGGATCAATAAAAGATTCATGGTGAACCTGGCATAGAGCCAAGAGTCCCATCTGCAAGTCACACATTACATGCTGTCTGCACATGATTTGGTTTTCTTTAACCCTTGGAGGCACACACTGGGATCTCCCCAAAGAGTTCCTAACACTAAAGACTTAGCTACCATCGACAGTGGGTTAATTGGGAATGGCATGCAGGGCTCCTGGGAACCATGGTTCAGAACAAAACCACCTGGGGCAATTGAATTTCTCATCTTAAGAGGGCTAATTTTCAAGTACACACAGGCTCAAATACACACACACACAGTCTAAATTGTTCTCTCATCTGAAATCAAGCATTATAGAGAGCCAATTAATATGGGATTGTGCTTTGTAAGGTTAGACCAAAATCCATACAGAAGCTATTATTTTTATTATTATTATATTAGACAGTCTAAAAACTGCTTCTCTGAGCCATTGGTTTAAAAGAATCAGTCTCCAGTACAATCTATTCTCCAGGCCAGTGGCAGGCTTCATAGCCGAAGCAAGATATCATCCATCAAGGTCTGAACAAACACCATCATTATGTGGATCACCATGGTTATGCGTTTAGCACAGAACTCTTTATGCAGGCATGAAATTGCCCATGTTGAACATTGGCCAAGAGGAGGAGGAAGAGAAGGAATAAAATGCATTTCTTTTTTCCATTTCACATTCCCACATGTGAAATGAAGAGGAACTACTGATGGCTAGGTAATTGTGCCACTAAAATTACTTAAAAATAGAAAGGAAACACAGCTAATGGGAATTTTAATGCAAGATATTAGGAAAATTAAGCATTTTAAGACCCTTGTTATTGAGTTACTTGAGACCAAAATAGAAAAGAAATATCCAAATAAAACTCTCTAAAAGTGGTTAAACAGTGCCCTTGCCTAGCAGGCATAATGCCTTTGGGTTCAAGCCTTAGCACTAAAAGAAAATGAGATGGGAGAGTGAAGTATCTGGCTAAAAATTTATGATATGCCCAACTCAGCATCTGACATATAGTAGGCAATCAATATGTATTTGTCAACTGAATGAGAACATGTCTAAATATTTCACATTAAAGATAACCATCGTATTAATAGCAACTAAAACAAACAGAAAACCATTAGTAAATTAATCTCATGTAACCATCCTCAAAGGTGGAGATCCCTGCTACACAGAGAGAACCCCTTCCCCAGCCATTCTTCGGGGACTGGAATAGCTTTGTGGGCCACACATGACACCTTTTATTCTTCGAAAGAAGAGGGGAGAGGGTTGCTGACAACTCTTGCTATCATCTGGCCTAAGCAGATAATATTTACCTGAAGGCCATATAGTTATTCATTTGTTTTGTTGTTTTTTTTTTAATTTCTTTACTAAAGTCATTTTTAAAAAGAAGAAGAAAGTGTTAAGTAATAACCCGAGGCTAGTGCCTACTCTTCTCTCAAAATACAGTGAGAATGTGGCAGTTACTTGTCACTAATAGTAAATGCATGTTGTAATACATGCAGGCAAACAGGGCGTGAGCACACACTCTCAGCCAGTTGTTAACAGCCATGTTCACCAGCGGAGTCAGCCTCAGGCCAGTTCTATGGAGAACCTGTACAGTATTCCATACAGGGATAGCCACGGACCAATAGAATGAACAGAATTCCTTACCTGAGTGTTCCCCTTTATCCACATCGAGCCCACGGAACTAGACACATCTTTTATAGTGCATGTCACTGTAAACTTGTCCCCTTCCCTAAGGAGATGACTTGTTTTGGTCACAGACACAACGGGGATAGCTTTGATGGCTAGAATTAAAAGAAAAATGTACCTGAAGTCAGTCATTCCATTACAACATGAATTTTAACTTCTCTTGGTTTAACGCACCTTATTTTTTTCTTTTTAAATTATTTTTAGTTTTACTTATTTGTGTATGTGTGTGTCTGTGTAAGTGTATGCTATGTGTGGGTGTCTGAGAAAGCCAAAAGGAGGGTGTTCAATACCCTGGAGCTGGAGTTATAGACAGACGTAACTCAAGATCAAGGTTGGGATCTGAACTGATCTTTTGCAGGAGCAGCAAGCACTTTTAATTTCTGGGCCACCTCTCTAGGCCCAAACTTGCTTTTTCTTGACTATGCACAGCTTGCATTATATCATTAAATAAAATACAAAACACAATACATTCTAACCTAGCTATATTGCTTGCATATCTAAATATGCCACCAATTAAGTCATTTATCCCACAATATATTTATTCATGCTGAGTGAAAAAGATAGGAATGTCTGTACACTAGGAGATCATAAATGCTTCTGGCTTTTTTCCCAATCAGGTGGAAGAAGTTAACATAGTGAAGCAGATTTAATCTTTACCTGGGGGACACTTGATAATTTCCTGAGGACCTAGCCTACAACTAAAAATATTCTCTTAGCCAATGGGTATCTTTCTCACCTATTATACAATTCACACCTTGCTTATTTCTGAAAAACTCCGGGTTTTAAATCATTAAAATTTCCTTCATTTTAATGAATGCAGTTTCTCAAAAGTGTCTTAAAAATTCTCCTAATCAGCTGAATCCCAAAGTGATGCTGAGATAGATAACCTCAAATCTAAAGCCTAGTTTATCTTCCAGCTACTGAGAGGTTTAATGTGGTACCACAGTAGTTAAGTCCCATAGGTTGTGGGCCCTTTCTTTCCCAGAGCTTGAATGGTTTGGGAATGCATTAGAATCAATCAGTTAAAGAAAGAAAAAAAAAAATCAAGTCACTTGTCTATAACAAATTAAAGAATAAACTCCTTGTAAACAAATCTCCTCAAATTAAATCTTCCCATTGAGTAAGTACACTTGTGACAAGGATGTCACATTGGGATGCCCTAAGCCATCAACGTTAATGACCGTTTTAGCCAGCAACATCCATGAACCTGTCGCTCTGTAGGAACTCAATGTGTATGGCATTACTTTGGAAGTCGGTGCTCTTACTAGCAGCTTGAGTCCTCATGCCCTAGGCTAAGACAGAACATAAAATTGGCCCAGTGAACAGGGTCTCCATCCCCACAAGATGCCATACCTGCCCTCACTTTCAGGATGAATCTGTCCGACACCACCCATTTGCCTTCGCGCTGGGCAGCACAGCGGAGGCAGAGCCGGTGGTAGGTACGCTTCACGTTTTTGATGGTAATGCCAGCCTTGGGGTTTGGAACAAACGTTAGGTCCTTGGGGAGAGGTTTCCCATCACACTCCCTGAGGGAATAATCTGACACCTCTGGGTCTGTCAGAGGGCAGCGTACCAGCGTGTCATTGTCTTCTTTCCCATACAAGGGAGGGTCAACCAGGAAAAGTATGGCAGGATCTATGAAACAGAACAAAAAAAGTTGCATGGATGGGTGTGGGCACTATTTGTTTAGATAGGGTCTTACCATGCTAGCCTGGAACTTGTATGTAGACCAGGGTGGCTTCGAGCTCACACAGATCCATCTGCCTCAGCTGGGATTAAAGGTGTGAACATTTTTTTAAAGCCTTAAACCATTACAAACATGCATAACACAATGACTTTCAGTTGTTTTCATTTTAATTATCATGTATGAGTATGTAACAGCTTGTCTGTATGTGGACCATGTACAATCAGACTGAAGACTGGAAGGGGGTGTCAGATCTCCAAGGGCTAGAGTTGTAAGTGGTTGTGAGCTGCCCAGTGTGGGTGCTGGGAACCAAAATGGGTCCCCAGTGAAACCAGCATGTGCTCTTAAAGATGGAGCTCCCTTCTCCAGCCTCCAACACACTGACCTTTATGTGGCTCCTACAGGTCAAATGAGGGTCCTCAAGCTTGTATGGCAAGCACTCATTAGACCAAGCAAGCTATCCTCCCAGCCCCCTGAGGTTCTGTTTTAAAATTATTCTCTCCACTTGGAAATCAAATGTTACCAACACACAAACAAAATCTGTTGCCACTGAAATATACTTGTTTAATTTAATTAAGGAGGAAAAAAAAAATCAAACCTTCACGACCAGTCTATATCAGAAGCCACGGCCGGTTTTCTGACTATACTTCCTCTGTCACCAGGGTGTAAAGCCTCCAACAAGGTGCCAATTTCTTTCCTTACAGTGGCATAGACTAGTTAAGGGTCTAAATGTGAAGAAAGGGTGTGAACTCTAACTGTTCCGGCTAACTAGATGTCTAATCATTAAGCCTAATACCACTTTCATTACCACCTGGAAATTATAGAACACCTCCAATGTCACCGGCAGCTTGGGGATGGGATCAAACCTTCACGACCAGTCTATGATCAGAAGCCACGACCGGTTTTCTGACTATACTTTCTCTGTCACCAGGATGTAAAGCCTCCAACAAGGTGCCAGTTTCTTTCCTTACAGTGGCATAGACTAGTTAAGGGTCTAAATGTGAAGAAAGGGTGTGAACTCTAACTGTTCCGGCTAACTAGATGTCTAATCATTAAGCCTAATACCACTTTCATTACCACCTGGAAATTATAGAACACCTCCAATGTCACCGGCAGCTTGGGGATGGGCTTAACAATTCCGGAGCAGAACCCTGAAGCTAAACTGTGGCTTATCAGTGGAGCATGTCCCCTCCACTGCCCACTTAAGGAAGGACAACTGATAAAGCAAGCAGAGGCACAGTCAATTTCATGGCAATCTTCCGAGGCAGCTTTATTAACCCCTGTTTGAGCACACTAAGATTTGTATAATTGTGTTTCTCTAACAATCCCCTAAGGGAGACTGCTCATCTTATCTAAAGACCACAGTGAGAAACGGAGGCGCTAGGCAGCACATCTCCCAGGCACAAGAAATATATCTACTACATACTCACAGAACCGTGAACACTTTATAAATGGCAGGCCCGTTCCCAATACAACCAGTGCTAGAACCAGGACTTTCATTTCCTGTCCTCTCATTTGTCTCTTTAAACTGTCATTAGCTTTGTTTTCATATCACCCAAAGGATATTGACCTGAGGGCTTTTGACATCATAGCAAAAGCCCCCCCCCACACACACACACCACTGAATTTGTTTAGGAAACGAGGTATAGGAATATAACTATCCCATCTCGCACGCGCACGCACACACACACGCACACGCACACGCACACGCACACGCGCACACACACACACACTGAATTTGTTTAGGAAACGAGGTATAGGAATATAACTATCCCATCTCTTTTGTCTTTTGTTTCCAAGAGGTTGTAAGTGTTGAAAAGAACAACTCCAAAAGAACTTATGACTGGTAAGGGATGCTTAGCTGTCTGAGTTGTTTTTCTGGAATTTACTCCATAAGAGTGGGCCAAGTCTTTTGAAGTGCTAGTCTGTTTAGGCCTTTGGAGGCCTTTGGTTCCCTGAAGTGTTTCTACTAAGTGGGAATATTTAGTATCTCAAGGCATTAAAATGTAGTTTTCCCAAAGGGCCTAATTTATTCTTAGGGTTGACTCCAAACACCAGGACAAATGCGCTAACTAGATTGTAATCCAGTTACGGCCTTGCAGACCCTTAGCTGGGGTCACACTCAAAGCCACTGTGAATCAAAAGATGGGGGAAACTAGCATAGGAAAACAGTTACATTAGTCCTTCTAGAACCAGCCAGAAAAACTCTGCCTGTGGTTTGGTCACCTACCCACCTGTCTCCTAAAAGTTAGAACAAGGTACCTGACACTCTACAACACAGCGACACAGAAAGCCCAGCATTTACCTCTAACAAACACGTAAATAGAACTCCTGAGGCCGGCACTGTTGAGACACGTATATTTGCCTGTGTCAGTGACCTTGGCTTTTTCCTGAATCCATTCATGGTGCTTATTCTCACTCATTGCATTGATGGTCTCGAAAGTCCATTTGACGAATTCGGGATCAACACACATCAGCCTGATTGTGTCGCCAGCTTCCACTATTAACTCCGATTGTGCTGGCTCAATGGATGGTGGAGACAGCTCCCCTGGACTCACAGATGGCTGGGAAGTTCCTGCCAAGAAAAACAAGGACTGTGTTGAGTGTGAACTGTCTTGGCAAAATAAAGCATTTCTTCTAATATTGAGTTCCATCTTCTGTGTACTCTTACAGTAAAAATAGCCCTGCTATTTGCGGCTGAAAAGGGAATTCTGTCTAAAGTTTAAATTCATCTATAAAGTTATTTTCTGCAATCTTCAATTAGTCCTATGGGTCATATCTGGTGTACAAGCTGCCGGGATGGACACTCGGCTTTCTTTGGCTCAATCATGCACAGGGCTTCCACCGATGCTGGTCTGTCCTCATGGTGCTGCT